TCGTTATTCGCCTCGACGTATTACGCGTAATCGCTTGTATATTTGTAATTTTGCGTGTAACGTTATCGAGCGTCATACAGAAATTCAATGATTCTTCGCTGTACGATACGATATAGCGTAGCAGATAATTGGGTGTTTTAGCGAGAGCACTAACGAATTAGTAAGGCGTTATTTCTTTCTAGAGATTAAGGATAATTTTTGTTGCTTGCGCTAATAGTGCGATGACTTTCTATTTTCTTCTGTAAGTTACACTTTTGAGTGTCGCACGAACGTATATAATACGGGGATATAAATAATGATAAAACGTTCGTGTGTGCAACGAAAACCGAAATGCACCTCGGAGTCAGTAACAAAAGCCGATGGTTGCTAGGCACAGCCATTGCTACAGATAGTCGTAGATGTAACTTTAATTTCTAATATCGTTATTGTAAGAATATAGGACCGCGCTATGGATTAGGGCGACAGATATTACCCCTTATCTGTCACTGTATTATCTTTAACTGTTTCCATCTTCCCTCCCGTCGCGCATCCCTTCGAAGGTATTGATGTGACTGCGCCCGGGCAACGCTTGACAAATTTAGATTATCTTGCATTAAAAATTGTATTTACTATTATTAACTGTACGATTAACTACTACGCGCTGTACGCAGAGGAAGAAACAAACTTTATTTACCAAATACCAGTTTTTTAATAAAAATCTTTTTGTGAAAGAAAATATTGAACGCTTGCTACCTCGCCATGTATCGAAATTATTATTATTATTTATATTTATTTTTTGCATAAAATGCGTAAAATTCAATACACAACTAATTAGAGTGTAAAATTGTCTAATCAATTTTATTTGTCAAATATGACAAATAACACACACAATATTTTCTGTTATAGTATGCTAGTTGTGTATATACAAGATCAATATTCGATTTTTACTTACATTTAGTAGTTTAAAAAGTACTTTAAATTTTATAAATAATTTATGAATCTTTGATATGTTTTTTAAATTGTATTTGAAAATTAATTAAAATTCTTAAATTAATATTTTGACTAATATTTATGTTATAATTAATATTTACTTCAATGTATCTCCGAGGATATTTCTTCCATTATCTCCGTTACCCTTGTTACCATCTTCTATTATCATTTTACGGATTGATTAGTTCCTTACTTTTCACAATACGACCGGTCGATGATCACGAGGATGTATATTATCGATATGATCGTACGAAGTTTACTTGACGGATCTTTGGCCACGTCACAGAATTCGTTAAAAACTATGATTCATCGACGACGTAATTAATTTTGCAATTTTACATACACGTACCTAACAATAATGAATCACCTGTTACACTTTCGATGTATCTGAGCGAAAAAATATGCAAAGCGACGAAATATGCAAAGATAGATCCAGACTCTGATTATTCCGAGCCTACCGTCGACTGCGAAATTCCTCGAAATCTTGTTATTAAGCACATAATGGTGATAGCATTTAATATTTTATATATTAAAATGATCACTCGATACTTCACATGACACTTCCGATCACTATTCAACTCTTTCTGAGCAATAACGGTTACGAGAAATACGAGACAAGTCCATACACGTCCCGAAATGTCCCGTAACTGATATGACAGATTCGAGAATCGCAATATCGAAATTCAAAGTTTCGAGAATCGTAACTATCGAAATAGCCCCGAGGCGGCTGTTTTTTCTTTTGTATATTTATGTATATATATTTGTTTTATTATTTACGTTTATATAGTTATCTTTAATAATCGAGTTTTAACATTCGTAATTAGAAACTAACCAATCACAGTCACTCCATTCTTCAGAAGGAATAGCTATGATTGATCAGTTTGATCGTAAAACAAATGAAAGAGACATAAACACACACACACACACACACGCGCGCGCGCGCGCGCACGCACACACATACTTGTGTTGACATATTAAGTAATTGTCATGTAAATTGATATTAATATATATTATATAACATAAGAAGATAGTGTAATGAGATCGCAAATGATCGTTCATTCGATATGATTGTACTTAATTGTACTATGAAGTCGTCTTCATAGTATGCTATTTTAGCGTTTTGATTTGACAACTCAACACAAATGTGATGACGATTACAATAACAGGCTTACTTTGATCATGTGCCGCGAGAACGCCGCAGTATGAAATATCGTTTATACGATTACATCTGCATTTTCGTCGTGCTCGAGATATTGCAATCGTCAATTGGTTACGCGAAAATCATCAGTGATACTCGCAGGTATTGACCCTTACAGCACAAAAGTTGCAGCAACACTGCTGCAACATTGCAGTAATATTGCATGTTGCAGCAATATTGTAGAGATTTTGCAACAATATTGCTGCAAATTCTTTGCTGTATGGGAACAGTAATTTTCATAGACTCTGTATCACCAATTCGTATAATTTGTTAATGAGATTTTTTACACTTTCCACTTATTATTATCTGTTATGTGTTGTTTTTCTGTATGTAAAATCCTATACTGTACAAATCATTTCAGTAAAATTGCAATGTTCCAGCAATATTGCAGTAACATTGGAAATGTTGCAGCAATGTTATTGTAAGCTTCCGTACTGTATGAAGTTTTTTTTAAATATTTTATATTGCTTAGAAGATTATATGGTTTTAGAACAAAACGAGAGATATCTGTTGCTAAAACATCACAATTAAAAGAAGACACCAATTATGCAAAAGAAATAAATTTGCAACATGAAGAGAAAAATGATAATGAACTTGAAGAAGATGGTACATATCAAGGTGATATAAGTAAGAAACATAAAATTTCGAAGAAAGCTGCAAATTTCATGAGCTCCACCGACTTACACTCATCAAACGCCGAAGAATCTTTCAATCGTGACAATATACCTAGCTACCTTAACTCACAACACTCAAATGAGGATTTAGAAGAAACAGAAGAAGCGGAGGAAGAAACAAAACGAAAACGTGATAAAAATGAAAAAGTGAGCAATCTCATCCGTTTATCTCGAAACATAAATGATGACTTCAATAGATATACCGATCAGGATGAGAGATCGAGTTTGTACGATGATTACGAGGCGAAAGACATCGCAAAGCGTGGTGTTTTAAGTGGTTCAGAGGATTATGAGGAAATGGAAGACGACTTGCCAGGAATAGAAGATATGGCTGCAGTGCAAGAATTAACAAATGAAGCCGAAAAGAGAGAAGCACAGAAGGATACTCGGGTGAAAAGAGACCAAATGGAAATTTCAGAAATACTTGATAAATCCAGATCAAATGTAGACAATCCAGCAAAGTTAGAAGAATCAAAAATCGTAGAAAAAAATCCTTACTCACACGAAGTTTCTCGTACCGAATTCTCGAAAAGTTTTAACGAAGCGTCTGCACCCAACACGATGAAAACTTCCGAATCAAAGGACGTGATATCAAAGTTGAGCGATTCTTCCAAAATCCAAGAACTAGCAAACACAGTTGCTCTACTCAAGAAAGACGAATCAAACAGAGAATACGAGAAATGCGTGGAAGAGGAAATTCAACGGAAGATTGATTTGATTAAGGAGGAAATTGAACGAGATATTGAAGCGCAGCAACGAATAAGAGATATCGAGAACAATAATGCTAAATTCGACGAATTGCAAGATCAAGAGCATGAGGATGAAGAAAAACAGAAAATGAACTTTGAAAATGAATCAATCGAAAAACGGCAAACTATAGCCAAGAGATCTGTACAAGAGATTGCTGATGATGCTATCACTTTTTCTGAGAAAAGTGAGAAGAAACGATCTTTGAAAAAAGAACAGAATAAAAAACGGCAACGTCAATCTAATAAGATCAGTACATCAGATACTTCAAAGCAGGATGAAAATCTGAAAAGACAAGTGATTGAGCAAGACAAGCCTTCTGAGCAAGTTCCTTCGAAAGAGCTTTTCAAGAAGAAACGTGAGCGTGTTAGACAAATTTTTTTGGTAAATAACGATCAGCATCAGACAAAGAGAAGACAATTGAGAAGCTATTCACAGTCACCTGCTCAGGCAGTCCTCAGATCCGAAGATGAATTATTTATGAATCCCAAACTGAATTCGTATCTTCATATGGATAACAGAATGGTGAGGCTTAACAGAAAGCAGACTAAAAATCATTTATTATTAAACGATATATTATTAAAAATTGATTGATATATTATATATAAAACAAATTGCTATTAAATAAAATTATACATCTACTACTTAAAATATATATATATATATATAATATACGTATATAAAAATAAAAAATAATAATAAAATTGTTGCAGCTCGAAAAATCTTCACCAGTTGGCAGCGAAGATGAAAATAACGAAGAAGAACAGAATCCTATAGCAGAACAGTCAGATTCTTTGGTACCTCTTATTGGAAGTTCACAGGAATTAAATCCACGTTTAGAAAAAGAATACAAAGAGGCTTTTGGTGGATTGCAGAGTGAGCCTGGCAATGCTCTAGCCAGATTCAAAAGGGTCAAACGTGTGCTAACAAACGGGTCTTAACACAATTTAAAATTTTTGTTAAGGTATAAATGATACAGATTAATCTTTTTAATAATCTTCAAGACGAAAATATTTCTATCATATAAAATGAAATTATAAAAAAATATTTTTTTGAATTATGATTAATAAGAAAAGGCTAAATAAATAGGAATATGTAGGGATAGATGATAGAGTATGTAAAGAAATATCATAGATATTAAAAAAACAGAATAATACATTTTGTAATTAGAGAAATGGTTATAGCTATAATAAAATGTAATATCATTAATTACAAAATATTTCGAGATTGTCGGTCGATTTAATCATAGCTTAAATAAATGATATATAAATTCTTGACATAACTATACTATACTAATTTATGAATTTCTGTGCCGATTATATAATCTTAAAAAATATCAAGATATTTGTTCCTTTTCAGTTAAAAATGATTAAAAATATTGATACTTATAAAATAAGAGAAATGTATACATGTCAATCAAAATTTTCAATAATTGCTGTTAAATTTTTCTTTTCCTCTATACTTGCAAAACTATATTGTACAGATAATGCAGACAATTCTTTGAGCTGTTGTTTTCCAATATTAAAAACAGAACTTAATATTTCCAATTCTTTTGACAAGCACGTATTAAAAACACCTTTATCATCAGTCTAAAAAAAAGTTATATTTTAATTTTTTAATTTTAAACAATACATGTTATTTTTTATACTTACTCCAATAGCTATTGGATGTCCAGCTTTGTACAAATATTTAAATTGATGATACATATAAGATGACACTGTTTTACATTTAATGTTTGATGTTAAGCATAATTCTAGATTAAAAGGAAAAAATAAATATGTTTACACATTTTTTAACATTCATCAAAATATTTTTCTGAAAAGAAGAATTATCTCTCTCGAAGATCTCTTACCAACGGGAATTTTTGACTCCAATAATGTATCAAACAATTGCTGAGAACCTTGCAAACTAGGATGAATGCAAGTACAATGTCCCAAACGATCAGGTTTAAATTTTAATATATCATTTGTTTCCATTTTATTTGGTACCTGCATATGTATTTTATATGTATATGTATTATATCTATTATATGTAGAGACAATTGATTCTATTTGGAAGGTAATTCACCTCTGCACAATGAGCTGTAATTCTAAGACCTATTTTCCTAGACATTTTTAATAATTCTAAAAATGAATCTCCCACTGTTGGATCACCACTAAGATCAATACCTACAACATGTTCTGGATGTTTTTCCGTAAACTGTATAGCAAGATTTATATTTTCTTCTGCAGATTCGAAACCTTGTTTTCGATTAATTGATACTAGTAGTTTTACAAGAATTTGTGGAAATTCAAATTTCGACGCTCTGTACATCGGATGTAAGAATACTGATTACTTCGAGGAAAAATAAAAAATATAAATATGCTATTTCTATATATATATATACATTTAAATCAGAATCTGTTATACAAGCTAATATATAGACATTATTGAATAGTTACTTACTCGATAGCTTTTATTATGGCTTGAAGATACTCTGTTTTTGTCATTACATCCTTTACAGCACGAGGTGTGCTCCTTAATTCTAAATAAATCACATTATCTTCATGAAATTCTTTTATCACATCACAAGTAGCAACAAATACAGCCTGTGGTGTAATTGTTAGTGCATGAGCTATGTCAAACATTTTAAAACATCTAGAAAATAATAATATGTAGCACATTTTTTATTAAACAATATAGTACCTCAAATCACAATGTTTTATAGAAAAATAAAAAAAAAGCCTATGTACTCGCTTAAAGATGAGAAATTGGTAGTATTCAGATCCATAAAAGTTTCATCACAAGTAGTGTCTGAGCGTTGCATTTTATATAATTTTTGCAATGTATTTACACTTAATGAACCGTTTAAATGTGCATGAAGTTCCTAATAATTAGAAAAAATTAATTATTTAGTATATTAAAATATATAAGATTATGAAGTATAAAATAAAATAAATACTCATTTATTACAATAAGTGCTGTTCTTATATTTGACTTAAAATATACTTACCACTTTGGGCAATTTTCGGCAAAACTCTGATATATCCATTTTATCATTCAATATATATCTCTTCCTTAACTTTATAAAATGATCATTAATGTTTCATAAAATAAATATTCACGTTGTAAATACAATCGAAATGTTAATGTAAGATGTTAATGAATTGCTTTGATAGATCAGAGAATGTTTAGCCGTTACTGGCGCCACTATGTACACAAAGTATATACCTAGAACTATTAGCAACCACGGATATTTCCTTCGGATAATATATCTACAATTTTCGATTTTATTCCTGTGTGTTACCTATATTGTTTGGTTCTATTCAGCGCTATTGATGCATTTGGGGAGACGCTATTAGCACTACTTTGTCATTCTATCTTATTTATTAGGCATAAAACAAGAATAGAATGACACAATAGTGTTTCCTCGAATGCACCTTACGTCTATAAAGATCATATTTTTTTTTATACATTCAGTCAGTTATAGTACCAGTACAGAAAAATTTATAATAAACAATAATTCATGTTATACTATATAAATTTTCAATACTAGCAGTGAATATAAGAACACGATGAAAATATAATTATGTAATTATATAATAATATAATATGCATCATAAAAATATAGTAATTAAAAATTGGAATAATTTAAAAACCTTAAGAAATATTAAAAATATATCCAGTGAGAAATGATAATGGAATCGATAGTGAATCAATGTCGCTTTAACGTCGAATCAAATTGACATCGAATCAACGTCGATTTGACATCGGTTCCATTGTCATGTCTCATTGGGTAAAAAAGCAAATATTTTAACAGTGTTTTTACATAAAATATATACTAAAATAAAAATGGAAAAAATCAAATATATCATTTGTTTATAGACATTACCAAAGAGAAACCTGACAAAGATAATGAGGGCTTTTTTTCTGTAACCGCAAACTGTTTCCCGCGCACTACTGATCTCTGAAGAAGTGGATGTTTGAATATCAAATAAGTTAATTTAGCGAATTTTGTCTTATAATATGCGTCTGCATAAAAATGAAATTAGTTGTGTTTTTTTAATGCAAATTTTCAGCCCATTTTCATCAAACGTAATTATTATTATAGTCTGTAAGTATATTTCGAAGTCTCTATAATCACTAGCAAAATTATAGTCTTTGAATACACTTCAAATTTTTCGATCATATATCATTAAACTTTAATTTAGGAAAAATGAGAGGCCCTCCTTCATCTTATTGAAACATAAACTAATAATTTGCAATTAATTTCCTTTTTCTTTCGAGCTTCCACTGAATGATTATATGAATTCTTTTTTATAAAGTAATTTCTCTGACTTTTTCCCGGTTTTCCAGATCTGTGGCAATCCTGACTGATTATCGATAATTGATATAAATTTGTACACCTCCGAAAATTTGCCATTTAAAATTGAGTAAGTTTTTAATAGTATCTCGTTGGTGTCTCTATATCGAATATCATTAAAAAATATATTTACAATATATAATATAGTATTGAGATACAATATATGTGTATAGTATAGTATTTACAATATATAGCATTGAGAAATTCTTGAACTGCCATATCTCTACATACATAAAAAATTGTCGGAAAAATAATCAAAACAGGAAAGGTAATAAGAATCAGTGCACGATTTTTGATGTGCTAAAAAATTTTAGAATATCAAAAAACTGCACACTGACTTATTGCTCTTCCTGTTACATATTATGTTTATAAATATTTCTGGCATCATATTAATTTTCATTATATATTCATTGCGTACATAGCGAAAGGACCAAACAGCTAAATTTTTATTAGATAAAATTATTTAAAAGTAGTTTATCATAATTTCATATCATGAGTAAATATTTTTCCATTTATGAAGAGAAATTTACGGACCACGAAGTTGAGCCAATAAAGCTTCATTTTTACGACATTCAATAGTAAGCTGTCTAACTGCCGTAACATATTTGCGTTGCTGCTCTACGAGAGTGACGAGTTGTCGACTAAGCGTATCTCGCCTTCCTTTTTCATCGGTACACCGTTTTTCCACCTAAATAAAAAATTATTTCAAATTATTTTGTGACTCTGCAGAATTTATCGTTGAATATGAAGTAAGAGAAAATTTATTTTTTCATGTTACCATCGCTTTGTTGCGCTTCACTCCTGCAACAATTGTCTCAAATTGTTTCAAGAACTGTTCTTTGCCACTTGTTGATGCCATAGCTCTGTCATAAAACATATTAAGTTACACACACATATATATATATTAAGACTCTGAATATTTTAAAACAAATAATATTTATAATACGTACTCATTATAATTATCTTGAATAGAATTCAGCAACGACAATTCCTTACTTATATATAGTTTTGTATCATCGAGGGTATTGTATAACGTATAATATTGTTTAGTTTCTTTGTGTTTAGCTGAAACTGTAATATGCTTCTTTAATCTAAATTTTGCAAAATAGATACTTTTAAATTATAGAATTGTTCTTATGTCTGTAAATAAAAATTAATCCAGTTAACCTTGATTATAGAGTTCCATGAAACGTCGTTGATATTGTGTCAATTCAGAGCGTCCTGGAACATCGTCTAATTGCCTCGTTAAAGATGCAATAATTCTATTTTTTTTAGCCAATTGCAATCGCACTCGTGTTATAATTTCCTTTTGTTCTTCATATTCTTTGACACGATCTTCCTCTTCCATCGGAGCACCGTTTTCAATTTCTTGTAACATACCTCGAAGAAGATTCAAGTCCGATTTACATTGTTCTCGAAAATTATGTTCTTGTTCCTTTAATCCTTCATGTACAGATAGAAGTTCCTCTAATCGTTTGAAGGTACTAGAAGTTGAATAAAAATTCTTATTTCATATTTAAGCGATATTTCGTATTAAATATTTCATATTTAATACAAAAAGAAAAATTATTAATATTTAAAAAATTAATATATATTTTATTTATAATTAGTTATAATTTTATTACTGCTAAATACCTGTCATTATCATTAATTCCAATTTCGCGAATTTTTTTAAACGAGCGTTCAATGATTTCTTTTCTCGTACGATATTCTTTCACCTTTTCTACTATTTCAGTAAGTTTATTAGATAAGTTATCTCTCTCTTTTGTTAACTTACGTACTCTAGATTGCAATGTTGTTTTTTGTTTCTGTAATGCAATTAGAGCGCGCGACGAATTTGTTGCATCATCATCCTGTATTAATAAAAACATTACATTGTAAAATAATATATGCTTTAATTATATTGCATAAAAATATATTTTATTTACATTTACCTCTATTTTAGAAGTAGTCATAGTTGCATATTTTTCTGCCACTTTAGCAATTTCTTGCGCTTGTATACCAACAATGTTTCCAAGTGTATATACATTTAAACGCATCTGTATGAAAAATTAATAGTAATACTATAAAATTTATAATTAAAAGGATAATTTTTTAGTGTGATTATATTTTAAATAATACGTTTCATGTGAATTTTAAATATATTTTTTTAAAGTATTACAAATAAAATGTGCAAATATATATGCTGCCCTTAATAAAAAATGTAGAATCAATTTAGAATCAGTCTCGAAAGCACTTTTTCTCTCTTAACATGTAATTTAGCATTTTAAAAAATCTACATACCGAATTTTCTTCTATGACGGATAGAGCAGCGGTGATCTGTTCAGTGGTGTTCTAAAAAATGTAAATTGTATTGCATGAATTTTCTACTATATCAATATATTTCAAACGGATAAATTAAAAGTGATGCATTTATAATAAATGATACCTTTTCATTTTTTTCATTATTTGATTCATTTTTTGAATTACTGCTTTCTGTTATTGTTGTATTTTTAACAGCCTCAAATGGTGCTTCATATTCTAATACTGTACCAATGAACTTATTTGATTCATTTTTTACAAAATCTTCTTTTTGTTTGAATAAACGCCGTGGTTCATAAGCTTTCTAATGTACATTAAAGAATATAAAAAACATTGCATATCAATTACACATTTACAGCGTTTTTACAAATGTCTTTATGAACAATAATTTATACCTTAACTGAACGTAAATTTTTGATAATGTTGTCATTAGCTGTTGCTCCAATCTCAGAATCTTCACTAAAAGTATGTTTTTTATGAAACTGATTTAATGCAAAAGCTCTCACAAAATCTGCCATTTCCTGTCGCATTTCCATAGAACGCTTTACTAGCCATTGAATAACTGGGAATATATGAATACAATCTAGACCCTGTATTTGATGTGGTTCTATTCGATATGGACAGTTCATTTTGGGGAGCATAACTACAATTTTTTCTGTTAAGGAACTGCAACACACATATATATTTTATACAATTATATATTAAAGTTATTATTGAAAAGATTTTTTAGCTAACAGAATTTAAAAAATAAAAAGATTTGTTATAACACATCATAAAAGGAAATTAATATCCTGAATAAAATCTATATTTTCAAATCTATATTTTATATATTTAACATGATGTATAATACATACATTTTTTGACCAATTGTAAGATTCTCTTGAAAAAGCAAATCCACATCTACATCAAAATTGCATGACTCTATGCACCAGGTCATACCACCGACAACCTAATCGAATAAATTATTTTTGAAATTATATATAT